AATGTCAGCCTGAATTGAAACGCTCAAAGCCTCAGATGGATATTTGACAGAATGTGATTTGGAGGGAGGGAGACTAAGGGCTAAGGGCTGCTACCAACTCGCAACCTTTTGTAGATGGATCTAAATGCCAGGACAAACATTTGACATTGAAGAAATAGTATCCGCCGGACCACCATTAACCAACTACATGTGAACGAGCAGCCTGATGTATGCAAATCCTTTTCTGGGGGGGTATTATCGACCTCAAAACGTATGGCTTAACGTGCCTCGGATCAAAACGCACCATGTATGTTTCTTAAGCGCAAGCATTAAACACACTCAAATTGGCTCTACACTGATCTCTGAACTGATCAATACGACAACCCTGTAGAAAGGATGACTTATGACTCTTGCGCTATAAGCAAACTTATAAATAACATTCCAACTGCTACATAATTGATGCTAAAACTATATTGAACAGCTCAGGGTGGCCTCGCCGTAAAACGACTAACCGCACTCTTGAGTTATCGCCAAAGAGTGCATTTTAAAAAACACATTGTGTAGAAATAATTGGATGCTTGTATAATCGATTGCCATGTCCAGAACCTTTCATTGACTGCCATGCCAATATATTTATACCACCGGCCCCTAAATGAGCAAGAGTGGACAAAAAAGTCAGTTGTGGCTCTTTAAACCATGCCATTAAACTCAAGATAGGATAAAAAATACAAACTAAAAGACCAAATCTGTTCGCCAATATGGATCCTCTCAGGCTGCCAAACGCTTAAGTCCGCAAGAATCATTAATATTAATAAATAAATGCACATAAACTAGTCCAGTCAGCACATTTAATCAACTTTCCGCATTCAGATTGAAAGCAAAACATCTTACGTGTATAACCGAGAGACAAACAGTGAGTTTGAGACCCCCATATAAGCATAAAGGAGGAGCGACGACAGTGAAGATTGAGAGAGGAACAGGCCTGATTTTACATTGTGTTTTGTGTGCCAGCAGTCGTATGTGAGGGGCTGCTGGCATACTTTCATTTTTGTTGATTTATTTTAATAAAACCTTTAAATGTTCGCTGGTTACGCCTCCTCCTCCTCATAACAACGAACCCCGTTACAAATACGTTATTGTGTACAGCGTGCAAAAGTTAGCACTCTCATTTAAAGCTTATCTCAGAAGATTCGCCCTCGTGTTTCCCTGCTGTGCGCCGCTACGCTGCTTATATGCATAACAATATTAAAGCAAGAGAACAATATTCCCTTAAAGCAGAACTTAAGACCACCAACCGGCTTTATCAAGCAGCAATCTTTGTAAAAGGCGTTTCAACAGTCCATCAGACTGTGTACACAAACCTAATGTAAGCATTCCCTTTGATTATGTGGCAAAAAGGAGGTGTGTGGGACCAGATGAGTAGATAAGTCTGGGTGAAGTCTCAGGAGGCCATTTTGGGCGGTGCAGAGTGCAGACAGCAGGTCCTCCCTTATTAGCAATGCTCCGATTAATCCATTAGCAAACGGGGAGTGCATTTGACGGACAAGAAAGAAACCATAGGAGGGATAATGCATGTGTTCATGGGACAACAGATGCTTGGTCCAACGCATGGCTTGAGTAATTTACAGTAAAAGCCTGTGATGAAGCATATGTATGCGCGTACATGTACTCAAGTGGTCGGAAGGGAATTTAAATATGAATAAATGATGACATAATGGCCTCAGCACTTCAACCCATTTAAATGGTTGGTCAAAATCACATTCTGAAACCTTAACTGCCTGTCTCCTAATCCAATCATTTCAGAATAATACTCACAATCATTTTAGCACATAAAACACTGTTCACTTAGCCATGCCGTTTTCTTTCTTTCCTCTTCCTACCATTTGAGACGAACAAAGCCCTAAAGCTGTTAAATTAGCTTTAACCATATGCTCCCATTGGTTCTTCCTGAAAGCAGTTCCATAGTTAAGCTTTAACTAAATGAATATGCAGATATGAATTAGACTTTTCTTTTTCCCTACAAGCGTTTTCCTGGTTGATATACAAGCGGAACTGACGTTAATCAGCTCAAATTCTTGCCTGCCAATAAACAATGACAAAATGTTCCCCCATAGGCCACGGTGGCATGAATCTTTCGCTTGAATGCTTAAATGATCAGATGTGTGTAGATGTGGTTTAGTGTCAGTAGTGTCAATAATTAGGTTTTTCACAAGGTCTGTGTCTTCAGTTCATAGGGAGTTTCAGTTCCTCATTATGTTCAAATGTCATTCAGAGTGACATCACTGATATGTAAATATAGACGTAATCCTGTTGTAACCATTCAGGAAACAAATTCGCCTTAACCAAACCCTTGATGATTTATGAAATATTCCATGCTAAATCTATAGTCCACATCCGTCCTTTAATCATGCAGTTTTCAGAATGAGGAAAAATTCTTCTTAATCAGAATAAGGAAATGTTTCGTCAGCCAAGTCGTTTAATGATTGAAAACTTAAATAATTCAGTAGGCTGCAGTACAGGTTTTTGCTATAAAATCCATCAAGAGCACATGCAATTACTGAGCTTGCAAAGAGAGCAGAGGTGCTCTTCTTTACTTGTTTGCATACAGGTTATAAGTCTCCTGCTGACAGCACTTCAGAGAAACTGACATTTCCAACACACAACCAAAAAGATCCGGAGGGTCATAACAGCATACACGTCGAGTAAAGGGAATGGGTTGTGTGATTGTGTGTGTGTTCTTCAGAGCAGTCTATGTAGCTTAAAGCAATATCAGTGTGGGGGAAACAGACATATACTAACATGCCTAACATTTGAGGATAAATCATGAGATGTCATGTTCTGTCACTTAGAAACTAGACTAGGAAATACTGGATACTGGTTCCTCAGGCAAGAAGGTGAACCACACCCATTGCATATCCCAAAACAATAGCCTGAACAGAATCTTCCCTCGAACTGTATTTTCCAATTAATTTCCAGTGCAGTTCAATGTATTAAACAACATATTATGTCACACAATAAAACAAAATTAAATTCTGTAAACAGGCTGACAAGCAAGTGTTCTTTTGGAAAATGTCATATGATATGCATTTTCCCGGTTGTGTGATGGAACTTCCCAAATTTAATGCGGAACACGTTTGATTTGATTTAACAAATTCCCCATTATGGACTGTACGTCAGTTACTCTAACATCCTAAAAGTGTAGATAAATGTATAGGCAAATAGAGTGGTGCAGGGATGACGTCAAATCCCGGAAGACTAATTCCCCCTTTGGCTCCTTCGAAGATTTTCCTATGGGGTTTTAAAACCACTTCAAAGTTTGTGTTTTTGGTATGGATTTGTGTAATAAATCATCTCTCAATTAATGTGAGCAATTATACCTACATGCACATTACATGTTGACTGTGTTTTAGGCTATGCTGTTTTTATTGAAAAAAAATGGAAAAAAAAAGAAATAAAGACTAGACAGACAGACGGACATCTTTAGTGGGTCATTAACGAAGAAAAACATTTCAAAAAGAATGCGAAATGCAGCAGCCACCACCTCAAAGTTATCAATCAATCACTTTAAATTAACACATTAAAGTCTGAAGACGAATAATAAAGACATCTATGTCAGACATTTTGATGAGCAAACAAGCATGATGTGATGTGACTGATAAAAACCACACAACAGACAAATGACTGAATTGGTTCACACCGCTCTCCACCTCCGCTACCTCTCGTGAGCAAGCGCATGCTCACTTTCTTTCTCTCTCCCCCGTTCACGCGCGCACACACACATAGCGCACTCACGCGCTCAAAGAATATTCAAGCCTAATGAGTTGTTCGCGCACGTCTCAAAATCCCGTATAGCTAATAATTTGAACACGCAGGACAACAGCCATGCACGAACCCCAAATAATGCAGTTGTTTATTAAAAGGATAGTGCGACCCAAAATTAAAATGCTGTGTCATATTCAAAATCCGTATGACTTGTTCATTTGCAAAAACAAAAATCAAATAAAAATCAAAGGCTGATGGAAGTAGCCCTGCGATTAGAATCAGGCTTTAAACATGACGCAAAATCACCATAAAAGTAGTCCAAAGACGACATAGTCTTCTGGCGACATGGATACAATAGCTTTTGTGAGATTCGCCTAAAAGAATCAGACAGGTGATCCAATTCACAAAACCTCTTCAGAATGATTCGTTCATCAATCAAACAAACAGATCCAGTTCTCGCTTGACTTAATGATCCAATGAAGTTCATTTCGGCTCGTTCCTCACACAAACCTATTATGTGACTTCAGGGGACTTAGAATAGGCTATTGCACACGATCGTGTGACTAGGCTACTTTTATGGGACTGATGTCCGTTTCAACGCTTCGGCTGAATCAGGCACCTTTCATAGTCATTCCATGGAAATGACCGAACAGGATATTTTTGGAAAATATTCATGATTGAAAGGACTTTCATTTTAAGGTGAACTGTCCCTTTAAAGTCCGTGTTTAGTTTCTGTTTGTTTGGGACTGACGCATATGCTGGGGATTTCGGAAACACGAGCAGATGTGATGTCACTGCTATGTTTCTGCGCGTGAAACAGTAACATTAAACATGTATATAGCCTCGCGTGTCCAAACTAAAAGTTGAAACACTTCACTGTTTTGTATACTGAGGTAGCTACAGAAGTTTTAAAACGCTTTATCACAGTCTCCAACGACTGGTGATAAAAATGAATGAATGTGAATGTCCGAGGCGGGCACAGATGCTTAATCTTCTTCAGGTGGACACTTGACCTCTTGTTCATAACGTGGGAGAAATTAAAAGTGTAACACATGTCCTGGCAATGATTGCCAACGAATTGCGGCAATGGCTATTATAAACACTTGTTGATGTTGATATATAAGGACGTAAAAAAAAGTCGAATGGTCACTATAGGAACGCACCTGCTTCACAAAATCCTCGGATTACGGCAGTGATGTTTCATGGAAAGAATGGGGGAATGAGATAAAAATATTTTCATGATAAATTAACTGACATACCTGGAAGAAACACATCGACTGCTACGAAGGCAACGAAAAGGTAGATAACCGATTGCATCCTTAAAGAAAACCCCGGCTCTCCTCTATAGCCTACAGTCCGAAGAGAATCTCAGAAAAAAATGCTCGTCTGAAGTTGTTGGATGGTAACGAGAAGTCTCTGGTTGAGTGCGTTGAAAGGATCAGGCGGGTTGCTCTGTGCGGAGAATGCAGGTGAAGTCTGTAGTCTGGACAAGCAGTGGCGATGAGTGCGAATTCACACTGGAGAGTTGGGCGCTAAGCCCCACCCCCGGTCCGCCCTCATCGACACGCCCTCTCCGGGTGAAGCCTGTCGCTGAGACGCTGCTGGCGGAAAGTCCGAATTATTCTAGCAAATCCGTCCCCGCGAACTGTTTCAGTGAGTCATTTAAAAACGATTCCGCAATTCGTCAGACATAGACCCACGTTCGGGTTTCATGTTTTACGGGACCTTTCAATGGACAATGATTTCTATAGCCTACTGTAGGCTACACTGTGGGGAAAAAAATATATCACAGTTTCCTCAAAATGATTCAACCTTGATAGCCTATTAACAGCCTACTGTAGACTATTATGAATTCAGATGCCCAACACTTATGAAGAGACGGCAACAACATGCAATGCTACATTTTTCTGAATGTCATAATCATTTGTTAACAAACAGGTTATTCATTACTTCAATGAGCTCATTTATTGCCTTAAATTAAACTTTGCCATGTCTGAAAGGCTACATAACTTGCACTGCAAACACACTTGTTCAAACAACATGTAAAAGTGAATTTTGCAGAATAGGTCCCCTTTAAAACATTGTACAAGGTCTACCACAAAGACTTGCATTTTTATTTACAGAAATAATAATGTTTTGAAAAAAGTCTCATCAAGGCTGCATTTATTTGATCAAAAATTCAGTAAAACTGTAATACTGTTAAATATATTATTACATTACATTTCTGTTTTAATATATTTTAAAATGTGGTTTTGTGATGGTAAAGCTGAATTGTCAGCATCATTACACGAGTCTAGTTTTTATTGTCACATGGCCTTTCAGGAATTATTGTAATATATATATATATATATATATATATAAGACAGAACAGAGCTCTCTAAATTGTAATGTACTCGTGCATTTTCTGTAAAGATGCTTTGAAACGTTGTTTTGTTAAAGGCATTATGCAAATAAATGTAAATTGAATTGAATAATATATAAGTGTGTTTGCAGTGTGTGTAGCGTTGTAAACATCCAGCAATTGCTCTTTTTTATCCGCATGGTTTCTCGGCAGAAGTAGTCATAGATAAAGTTCTATAGCTGTGAATGGGAGACTACATATATTTATACATATATGTGAATGGGAGGCTACATATATGTATAAAACTCCACAAAATAGAAGTCCCTCCCTTTCCGGTCGACCATCATGGGACCTTATTTCTGAAAAATATTGTATGGTAGTCAATGGCGAGAGACAATAAATATTTTGATCTCGTTTGAATTGTGTCCTGAATTACACATATGATGTTTGTTAATTTAAAAGATACACTTTAAAGTCAAGAAAGTCGCAGTTTGATGTAAAACTGTTGAGATAAGACTGTAAAAATACATAATTACAAAGACTACAAACCCCAAAGGCACATATTTTCTCTCAATGAATGAAGCTAACTTTACTGGAGCTAACATCTGTCATTGTTTCTATAGTCTATAGACAATTGTGATTTTAACCAAGGTCACATGGATGTCACATGGACTACTTTGATGATGTCTGTACTTCCTTTCTGAACAAGAACAGTTTACCGTATACAGTTTCAAAGGAGGGACAGAAAGCCCTCTGACTAAATCTAAAATATACAAAACAGTACAAGTACATAGTACAATATTTAAGAAGGTACAATACACATCATCATATGCATTTCACAATTGCCATGTGTGCAGCTTTGACTTGACCTCAGCCATTGTGAAATGTGGGGTATTTTGGTCTGAAATTTCACAGGCACATTCTGGGGACACCAGAGACTCATATTGCACCTCGTGGAAATGGCTATAATGGCTCCTTTAAAATAACTATTTTATGAAACAAAGACACTTTAAACAAGAGAGACTAATTTTCTTAGTCTGAAGTTTCAAAGATCAAAACAAAAGGTACTAAAATACCTGTATCTGTTATGCCTATTGGACAATATGCATGGGAACTTTTCATATCATTGCAATTTATTGGCAGATAACTCATGAGTTTGATTTAAATCAGTTTTACTTTACATAAAGAAAATCTTTTTTGAGTCACAAAGTCCAATTGAGATCTTCTCCACAGCTGTTTCAGGAAAATGGTGAGCTCAATTGTTTTATAAATGGCACTGCACAACTAATCACAAACACCTCACAACGAATAAAAGTCTGTGTTCAGCAGTGTCAACCCAGCTTGTTTCCCACCTTGTCATTAGAAAGAGATGCCCTGAGGAATAAACTGACGCCAACTGAGTCACACTGAATTTAAATGTGAATGAAACGGAGTGACAAACCATCGCTTTTTATCACGGCACTTGATATAATTAAACTTATTAATTTGATGGCGGATCCAGAAAGGTTCAAATGACAATCACCAGTGACAACTGGAGATTCACCTGTTGTATAAATGCAAAAGACTTTGGATGGAGAGTTTGGAAAAAAGAGACTGCAACTGAGTCCATGCAAAAACCAGGATAAATATCTGAAGGTTGCTCCAGAGGTGTGTGATCAATGCTGATGTTGTTAACAGTAACGGTTTTAGAAACAAAGTATAATTTTCACTGTTTGACGTGATATGATAATTGATCGTTAGTTTTAATCAGTGCAATTTACTGCAATGCTTTTTTTCATTTAGTTGGTCAGAAGAACAAAAGTGGATGTTACTTGTTCAGATTACATTTTAGAGTGAAAATTCGTAAATTGGTCATAACATTGGATTAATCCGTGCTGAGGTACAACTCACGTAAAGTTGATAATTCCGCAAATGCAGATTTCGAACAAAGATGGCAAAAACAAAAAGAGGAAAAACTGTTAACTTCAGCTTTAAGAGGTTGTGCTTTCAGAACAAACTGAGCATTCTTATTTACAGAGTTGCTGGCTTTTTGAGAGAGGCAAAATGGCTTATATTAGTAATAGCAGTAAAGATGTGTCTTTTGTCCTTTTTTAATTTAATACAGCTGTTTCATTATGAATAAATTCCTGACCCTCTTAAATAAATGGCCTAAGGGGGTAGACAATGTCTCCTTATGTTTAGGGCATTAGAATTAATTATTTGTGTTTAATGGTCATAAGCTCTGGTTGTTTTTTTTGTTGTTGTTTTTTTATCCTTAATATTCATTTACTTGACCCTCCAGGTAAGAACTGCCAAATTGAATTTAATTTGACTTTAAAAGACCTCTGAAACCAATTAACAAATTATATGATCCTAATCAAACTTTTTTTTGTTTGTTTATTAGTGTGTTATTATTTAAAGGGTTAGTTCACCCAAAAAGGAAAATTATGTAATTAATGACTCACCCTCATGTCAGCTCCAGGTAGGGAATGAGTCCTTACCCTAAGTGAAGGAGTACCTCAGGGTCTTATTCACGAGTGAGGAGAGACTGGAGAAGGAGATCGGCCGGAGAATCGGAGCAGCGGGGGTGCTATTGCACTCGCTTTACCGCACCGTTGTGACGAAAAGAAAGCTGAGCCGTAAGGCAAAGCTCTCGATCTACCGGTCAATTTTCGTTCCTACACTCACCTATGGTCGTGAAGGCTGGGTCATGACCGAAAGAACGAGATTGAGGGTAAAAGCGGCCGAAATGGGTTTCCTCAGGCGGGTGGCTGGTGTCTCCCATAGAGATAGGGTGAGAAGCTCAGCCATCTGCGAGGACCTCAGAGTAAAGCCACTTTGAGACACATTATTTATTATTATTGGTTTATAATAAATACCACAATATTCCATAAAAAAATTATAATTGCCAATTTTGATTTCATGGTGACTTTAAGTTCTGTTTGCACTCGTTTCTGAATGGTTGATACTCTTTGTCGTCCATGGATAACTGTCACAATCCTAAATCACCAGCCCTGTCACCTTCAGCACTATATCTCCCAGAATCCTTCCTGGTCCAACACTTGTACGCATTCCACAATAATCACCAGCCAGCTCATCAACTCTGCACAAGATGTAAGGACAACACACACTGGCTGAATCCAAAATCACCCCCTATACTCTCAAAATGGGTTCATTTTCAAACTGCTTTCATTCACTCCTTCAGGTGAACCGTATTAGTGGACTAACGTGCAGAATGATGAATGAGGCTTTAAGGGGTGATTTTGGATTCAGGTATTGTCTGTTTTCATTGTTGAATCCCACTTACCCAGCCACTCACCTGAGAGAATGCAACAGATAAGACTGTCATCCACAACTATTCCTTCTACAACTAACGTTTCTCAGTTTCTCATCGGCTTACTTCGATTGTAGGCCAAACCTGCAACTTACTTGCAGCCTACAAGAAAACTTACAAGAGTATCCTGTTGAGTCCTTCTTTTTTATGACGATAAAAGACCAATTATCAATTACATCAAAAATCAATTTGTGTACTTTATTCAATAAAGTGACAAAATTACCTTTTTGTTTGTAACCTATGTCTTGTTGCTAGGATTGATTGTCCTGTAAGCCTATATTATAATAAATTAAGTATTTTATAAACAGATAAAGTGGGTGAGATTATAGCCTAGCATAATTTCAACAACATCCACAAAAATGTAATACCATGTAGGTATATCCTATTTGATTTATTATTTATTTAATAAGTAGATGTGTGGTAAGTGCTCTGGATTACCCTTTTGGGGTTAATTTTGCGGGCCAGTTCATTATCCCAGTTCATGTTGATTGTTTTTATGAGCTAGGTCTCTTTAAGACATCAGTCACATCAGTAAGTTTACCTGGTAGAAGAAGTCAAATAGTTACGGCGGGTCTTTAGCCAACATGAATGCGAAGCTAATCACCTTTCTCTTGGCAATATATAAACAGAGATGGTATTATTATTGGGAGATACAATTATCAGTGGCCAACGACCAAATTGGATCACGTGTGCCTTGATAACCAATCACATTACAGCCTTGACTTTATTGAATTTTGTTCATAGCAGTGTGACAGTCAATCACTGTTTGCAGATACAATCGAAATGAATGAGAAGTGCAGTGAACTGAATCCTACCTGTTGCGCAATTGTCCATGACTTCTCATCAGTGATG